GTAATGCTTGGAAATGAGAGCTTTTGGGGTTTGGTTTAGGGTTTGGGGTTTAGGGGTTTAGGGTTTAGGGTTTAGGGTTTAGGGTTTAGGGTTTAGGGTTTAGGGTTTAGGGTTTCCCGTAAACCCAAACCCGAAACTCCAAGTTGTAGCCCGGTTCCTTCTAAAACCCTTACTAAAGAAATCCCGGGGTCGAGCTGCGACTTCCCACTATACACGTCCGAAAGCCCGCATGAAGCCTGCGGGCCGGAAGGCCCCTTATCTCCGAACATCAAAGCCGACGCCCTTGGCGTATGGTTTTGGGTTTAGGGTTTATAATTAGGGCTTACAAACTCTAACCCTTAGCTAGATAATGAACCCTAAACTCTAAACCCGAAGCCGTAAATCCTAAACCCGAAATACTAAAACCTACACCAACAACCAGTTTCAAAGGAGCCTTGGGCAGCACAGCCATCGTCAAAGGAATAGACTCCATGGCCCGAATCCGGAGGAACGGTCCTCTGGTGCTCATTCTTCGGTTTAGGGTTTAGGGTTTAGGGTTTAGGGTTTAGGGTTTAGGGTTTAGGTTTAGGCATTAGGAGCTACCTGGACCCTATAAAGCCTTCCTTTGTAGGGTTCCCTGTTATGATCTCCTTATAAGTCCTTGAAAAGGTAGGTTATTTGGTGTCCAGGTAGGGTTTCGGTTAGGGCTTGGGGTTTACCAGGACCACCTGCCCTTTAATGGAGCCCTCGGGGTCCCCACTGCGGGTATTTAAAGTATATTAGAGGGTAGTTGGTGGGTCGAGGTGAGGTTCATAAAACTGGGTTCAGGGTTTGGGGTTGACCTGTGGCTGTGTGTGTGTGTGGGTGGTTTTTAAGTTCGTCTAACATGTTCTTGGTTTGTTTTCAGGCCAAGATTAGGGTGCCAGGAAGGGTTTAGCTTCTGCTGTGTAGCCAGTCAGTCTTACAGACTACACCTTAAACCTCAACCCTAAACACTCCTAAACCCTCAACCCTAAACACTAAACACTAAACCTCATAAGTTCCACAAGCCCGAAACCTTAGCCTCAACACCCGATGCTTGCCTTGCACCCCAGAGACCGAGATCATCAAACCTAGGACCGAAACCTCGGATTTCCAAACATGTTGTACCATAACGTATCTTAATTTATGTTACATTATATCATGCAATATGTCTTATGTTATATCTTGCTGTGTCGATATAAAGGTTATTAATATGTTACATTAAATCATGCAAATATGTATTATGTTAGATCTTGCGGTGTCATCCCATGTAAAATAAACTTGCAAGAGGCCCAAGCGGCTGACAGGAGACGGGCTTGGATCCTTGAGGGCAGATGGCCTCAGACTGGATATTTGGTGGTGTCAGGTTTTGGGTTTAGGGGTCAGGGGTTTAGGGTTTAGGGTTTAGGGCTTAGGGTTTAGGGTTTAGGGTTTTGGGTTTAGGGGTCAGGTTTTGCAAGTCTACCTGCGGCGTCAGCTACCTAGCTCCCCAAAAGGAAGGGGTTTATGGCTCCTTTAACGGATCCTTGAAGGCTTCCTATAAGGATACTACCCAAAAGGGTCCTATGTACTGCTGCGGGGGATACTTCCCTAAACCATAATAGTAATTCCTAGACCCCAAACCCTAAACCCCAATCACACCCTAAACCCTAAACCCTAATAGTAATTCCTAACGCAGAGACCCTACATTCTACCATGTAATATAGACCCTAAACCCTAAACCCTAAACCCTAAACCCTAAACCCTAAACCCTAATATAGGTACATAGGGCCCTTTCGGCTCTTCGGGGTGACAGTTACGCCCATTGCCTTGGAAAAGACGAGGAACCACAGAACTCCAAGTCTGCAAACTAGGGTTTAGGGTTTAGTGTTTAGGGGTTTAGGGTTTAGGGTTTAGGGGTTTAGGGTTTAGTGTCCCCACCATGTTGCCACATCCTAGACCCCACTCAAATGCCTTTGATGAACCTGGCCCTACTCGCTCTACCCTTAAACCCTGCCCACCCTGGTCGCCCGGACCCTGTCAGCCCCTTCCCCCTCAACCCCCACAAACGGTAGACTGGGTCGCGCTATGGAGTCCATTTTCAAGACAGAGTTTCAAGCTCCTGGTTCTTCTTGGAAAACACACGACTATACCATAGTTTTCGAGGACACAAGTATCACACATGCTATTCTGTAGTCCAGTTTCTGAAGTTGTCAGCCCAGCCGCAGAGACCAAGAGAAAAAGGATCCAACACCTTACCTGGCGAACCCTATTCCTAAAGCCTACGCCCTAAATTAACATGCCAAGAATCCAGGTCGCAGAAACTCAGCTTGCACCCTGAACCCTGAACCCTATCAATCCCGTAGAGGAGCCCTTAAAGGGAACCCTTCACAGAAACCCTAATTTAGCTAGACTTTGAAGTAACCAGGGAGAAAAAGTATAGCCTTTAATTTCATATTGGTCCCCTTAAGGAACAGGTCCCCAAAAACAATATTCAAGTATGGTACTCCAGAACCCAGTTAGAGAAGCCCAGCTGCAGAAACCCAGCAGGAGTCCAACCGACAGGATTGTGGGCTGTACACCGCCACGCTTCCGAGGCCTAAGTCGACCTCGGCTGCTCTTCCGAACCCACCCAGAGACAAGAATTAGGGTTTAGGGTTTAGGCTTTATAGTTATAGGGTCTCTATCTGTCTAAGACAAGAATTAGGGTTTAGGGTTTAGGCTTTATAGTTCTAGGGTCTCTATCTGTCTATCTATCTATCTATCGATCTTCCTATCCATCCATCTATCTATCTACCTATCTATCTATGTACCAATCTTTGCATCCAGCCATTGATCTATCAATCTATCGATCTGTCTCGAAAAAAATCTGTCTATCTATCTACCCTTGAGGACTGATAGTAGTAGTAGTAGTAGTAGTAGTAGTAGTAGTAGTAGTAGTACTAGTACTAGTACTAGTAGTACTAGTATAGTAGTA